GATAGATGATTGATAGATAGATAGATAGATAGATAGATAGATATAGATAGATGATAGATATAGATAGATTAGATAGATGATAGATAGATGATAGATAGATGATAGATAGATAGATAGATAGATAGATAGATAGATGATAGATATAGATAGGGGTGTGTGTGTGTGTCTGTGTGTGTGTGTGTGTTTGTTGTTATTTTAGTTATACCCCACTCATCTGGCTGGGTTTCCCCAGCCACTCTGGGTGGCTCCCAACAAAATATTAAAAACACAATAAAACATCAAACATTAAAAACTTCCCTAAACAGGGTTGCCTTCAGATATCTTCTGAGAGTCAGATAGTTGTTTATTTCCTTGACATCTGATGGGAGGGCGTTCCACAGGGTGGGCACCACTACCTGGTTCCCTGTAACCTCACTTCTTGCAGTAAGGGAACCACAAGAAGACCCCCAGAACTGGACCTCAGTGTCTGGGCTGAGCGATGGAGGTGGAGACGCTCCTTCAGGGATAAGACTTCTCACCTGCCCTTCACTATCAGGTCCCAATTTTAAATATAAGTAAAACCATGAAAGAGTACATTCCCTCTAACAATTCTCTGATGAAAATACAGTGGTGCCTCGCAAGACGAATGCCTCGCAAGACGGAAAACTCGCAAGACGAAAGGGTTTTCCATTTTTGAGTTGCTTCGCAAGACGATTTTCCCTATGGGCTTGCTTCGCAAGACGGAAACCTCTTGCAAGTTTGTTTCCTTTGCTTAAAACCGTTAATACAGTTGCGACTTGACTTCGAGGAGCAACTCAAAGCACGCGGTGTGCGTCTCCGTAGGGGCAAGAACGCGTGAAGGCGGGTTCTGAGGGAGAGGGAGCTTTGAGTCGGCGAAAATAGCAAGGCGAGCACACTTCCCTCCCCACAACTCCCAGTTAGGGAGGCCAGGCTCCGGCGCTCTTCGGACGGGGCTCCTTCCTTCTCCCCCCCCCCAGCGCCCCGGCGGTGACAAGAGCGCCTGCCCGGGCGCTTTCCAACCCCGTGACGTCTACGGCTGCGGCAAGTTTGCCTCTCAGTGTGTGTGCGCGCGAGTGTGTGTTCTCCTCGCCCCGCTCGAGTTAGTCCCGGCGCAGCAGGTGAGCCACCCTTTGGCAGCGTGGAAGGTGCCGGGCCAGGCAAGGTCAGCTCGGGAGCCACCGGGGACGCGCCCCCACGCTCCTCTCCAACGGGCTGGATGCACCCCTCTCCGCTCGCGCGCTTCTGGCTGGCTGGCCGGCTGCAGCAGCAACAGGGGCAATAGGCATCCACCGTTGCCGACGCTCCTCCCTCCCTCCTGCCCGCGGCGGGCGGCTGGCTGGCTGGCGCCTCGCTTTCTTCGGGCTGCTGCTGCAGAAGGGATTTTGCACCAGACAACTTTTAGGCCAGTAGGAGTTTTGACTACCACGGCGCCAGCAGCAGCAGCAGCAAGACGGCGCCGACTGTAGTGCAAAGGGTCGGAGCAAGGCGAGCCGAACTGATCCCGGGGGCTCAGGCAGCAACCTCTGCCCTGCCTCCCCCCGCGCCCGCCTCTCCCTCCCTCCCAAGCACCCCCCTTTTTTGAGGTTTTTGAAGACTTTTGAAGCTTTTCCAAAACTTTCCCGACACCGTGCTTCGCAAGACGAAAAAAATCGCAAGACGAAAAAGCTCATGGAACGAATTAATTTCGTCTTGCGAGGCACCACTGTAGGGGTGTCCAGTGCTATTTTTGCTAGAAAAGAAGGGTGCTCACCATGAACACCTCCCTCGTTCTCTTAGAACGGCAATGGCGCCTACCTGAGAGGTGCCACAACTGAGTCCCACCAACTTCCAGATGAAAAGAAGCCCTTGGGACGTCCTATTCCACACCCTCCAACATTTCTCCAATGAAAATAGGGACACCCCAAGGAAAAGTGGGACATTATGGGATCAAATCAGAAACTGGCATGGCTTCTGTAAATCTGGGACTGTCCCTGGAAAATAGGAACACTTGTAGGGTCTGTCAGTATAAATTCAGCAAAAGGGATGGGTAGCCCTTTAACTGACAACAGCCAAGGTAAAGATGTGCACCTTCAGCTTAGGACAGAAGTTGTGCAATGAAGCTGCTAGATGTAGGGACTTCCCTCTCCCAAGGCGCTGTCCCCCACACTTCTGAGGATGATAGACCTACCAAGAGAGCACCCAAAAAGGTTAGCAGGGATGGAGATGGTCTTTCAGATATGTGAGGCCCAAGACATTTAAACACTAATGTGGTCAGAAAAGTACCACAGGTAAGTTTTAACAGAAAAGTACAAAGAACTATCCTAGCTCGGGAAAGTATGAGGCTAGATCTTAATGCTTAGTGGTTATGTATTGCTTGCCCCACTCCAAATGTCCAAAATGTTTTGCATGCATTTCCTTCTGCATGCAAAGGAATGTTACATCTTGCTTAAAATGTATATCGGAAGTGCAGTGTAAGCGATGGAAGTCAATCAATGAAATTTTATTATTATTTTCATCTAGAGATATTTGTAGAATAAATTTGGAAGAAATTCTTCTAACTTTTTTCTTCTTCTTTTCTCTTTATTTTTTCTTCTTTTTTCTTTTCTTCTTTTCTTCTCTTTTGTTCCTTTTTTCATGTATATGTGCTTGTTTGACGTGTATATGTGTGTATGTGTGTGTATGTATTTGCAGTGTTTTGCTTATATTTTGTAACAACTATGTTAAATAAAATAAATAAATAATAATAAAAAAGGAATGTTACATCGTAGTGATAAGAGCCAAGACTCAAAAGATTGCAATTGACATAAATGTGCTTGCTGTTGAGTAAATGTGCTTACTATTGAGTAAAACCTGCAGAACACAGTAGGACTTGCTTCTGGGTAAACACGTACAGTGGTACCTCAGGTTAAGTACTTAATTCGTTCTGGAGGTCTGTTCTTAACCTTAAACTGTTCTTAACCTGAAGACCACTTTAGCTAATGGGGCCTCCCACTGCCACCGCACCGCCAGAGCACGATTTCTGTTCTCATCCTGAAGCAAAGTTCTTAACCCGAGGTACTATTTCTGGGTTACTGGAGTCTGTAACCTGAAGCGTCTGTAACCTGAAGCATATGTAACCCGAGGTACCACTGTATAGGAGTGGCTTCAGGGCTGAGCTCCGAACAATCTCGTAGCCCAGCCTCGTAACAACTCTGTAAGGCTGTGTTTAAGATAGTGTTCAACTTGTTTAGAAACTGGTGCTGAAAGTGTGCACACACATTTCTGTTTTCCCATGATATCCATTGTACAAGGTCTTTTCCTTTAAAGGTGCTTTCCTCTTTTGCAGAACTCTCCTTTCCCAATAGATGCATCTGTCTCTGTTTCAAAGGCATGTTCTTGACTCGCCTGTAAGAAACGCCATGCTCCCTTTCCCTTTGTATTTCTTTTCTGCAGCTTCTTTTGAAACAGCACACCAAAAGGGAGACCTTGCTGGCTAAGAATTGTGGGACCCTTGAGGGTAAGGAAATGAAATAAAAGATATCCAGTTTATCTCCAGTAACAGATAAAAATGAATGGAGAAAGTTAGAGGTAAGTCTCAAATTATCTTTCCCCACCATCCCTTTCATAAAAGATTTCTATCTCCATTTTGTAATGCTATGGAGGAAGAAAGAAGCCCACCCTCCTCCATCTTAAAATGTTGAACAGCAAAATGGATTTTAAAAAGCAGAAGTTACTCTGCTTTACTGCTGACTCTTAAACTCACAGCTGCACCGCTTTCTTTTCCCCGTTATTTATTCATTCCAGATGAGTGAGAATCTGAGGAAGCAGAAACAGGGATCAGTTCTGGACCTTCCTTCCCCATCAGACAGAATGTTGGTGGACAGAACACTCTCTTATAATCTGGATTAACAACACGAAGAGACCCATCAACTGTCCCTATTTGAGCAGGATATCCCAGAATTACAGAAGCAATCCCAGCTTTGAACTGGATCTCAGGATGCCCATGTTGGAAAAACACCCTGGGAAGGCTGCCAACTTCCCAAGTCTTCGGAGCATCTCTCTGGTGGTTCTCTCTGGCTGTAAATCTTCCTCAGTCCAGAGAGACTGGTAATAAGCAACCCTTCTCTCCTGAGAAGAGCACGCCAGTCTTCTGGTATATCATAGCAGAAGAAAGACTCAGTCGTAGTTCTAAACTACTTTATTTACGGTCTTATGCATACAGAGACTCCATCAGTACACCTGTGCTCTCTGAACACCAGTACAGAACTGCGACACATACAGAAGTGAAACCAACTTCCAACAGTACTCAGAAGGAAGAGATAAGACAGACTTCCTTTCTCACGCTCTCTCAGACACTCACAGAAGGTACACAAAAACATAGTACCACTGCTGGAGCAGCTCGGATAGATAAAAATCCTAACAGTCCATTTGGGCTCCCGCAAGAGTAAGGCCCCAAAAGATGCCCAATTTTTTTTGGGGGGGGATGCTCTCACGCAAGTCACCTGGCTCCCACAGGAGCATGAGCTTGGAAGATAGTGTCCCCGTTTTCATCTAGAGCAGCAGTTCTCAACCTGTGGGTCCCCAGATGTTGGACTACAACTCCCATCATCCCTGAGCTCTGGCCTTGCTAGCTAGGGGTGATGGGAGTTGTAGTTCAACAACATCTGGGGACTCACAGGTTGAGAGTGGCTGCTCTAGAGCATGTTGGAGGGTATGCACACAGGGTGTTTCCAGATTATCACCATTTTCAGGTAGGATGCAAGGATACACTGGAAAATTCAAGTTGTACAATGAGAGCCGATGGCAAGGTCTTGTGCAACAACCACACTTCTCCCAATAATACTACTTTTTGCGATAAAGAAAGTGATGGGGGAAAGCCCCGGAAAGTGTGAGATAACACTTCCTTGGATACAACAGCATTAAATCTCCCTGCAAACAATTCAAAGTGAATATTCATTAAGCAGCCAACATAATTCAATCTGCCTGCAAGCAAGTCAGCAGTAGAATCCCATCCGCTGTTGACCAAGAAACTTTATAAGCGTTCAGGTAGGTAATGTTTGACCAATTGAAGCCGGCTGACATAGAAGACACCTCCATTTCAAACTTTTATCTGCCATGTAGCCCTGTGGATCAAAGATATGCAGATATAAATAATGCATTCTCAGTCTCAGACATTTGCCATGTGAGAGAATGCCTCCATGAATGAACACATGAAAGGGCAAGGAGAAACTTCACCTTACCTGGTGATCCTTTAATAAAAGGTTAGTTCCATGGATGAAACATTCTTTCATAGAAGATTCATCTGTTTGACAGGTGTGCATGTTAGAAACAAGGAACAATAAGTGAATTGCACAAAGTCCAGATGCTGGGCCAAAATAATGCTTCTTCCATTTTCGTGATGGCATCCATTTCCTGTGGAAGCGGGGAATAGATTTTGAGTTAAAATTAGTTCAACAGAGTGGGGCTGGGGTCACCTCCAGGCAGAGTGAGGCAGATATTGAGGGTTGGAAGCAGCACCCGGATCAGTTGATATTGAGCACCCAGAATCATTCAGCTCTGCTTGTCCTGGCTCCCTTATCTGATCTGCTACCACAAATGGAATGGAGGATACTATCCTGTCACCACTTCTGCAGTTAGATTCAATTGCCAATATGGTTGGTGTCGTAGTCTCATTGTTGAGCAGCAACGCGAAGAGCTCAGTGGAGTGGGCGGCCAGCCAACCAGAAGAGTCTTTGGGGTGTACTTGCCTGGAGGCAGTGTCAGCATCCAAAATCAGGTCCAGTCCTAGGGTCGGGTGAACAGCATGTTAGTTTCTGTTTGTGCCACTGTGCAGTTGTTTGGAGTCACAGGACTCTGTTTACATTCCAGGGATTCCAGACTGCTGGAAGTCTCACAGAAGACAGGAGACAGATGTGATGTTTACTGGTTTCCTGTTTCTTTGTTTTTCAGTTGCTCTCTGTCTTTCACAGAGAGAGGATTTTCTTTTCTGTCTGCATGGTTAGAAATAAAGGCTTTGCAATGTAGCCCATAATCTCGTCACTTCTGCTGCTTTGAAACTCTGCGTAATGGGGACATGCTTGGGGTCTTATCAAAAGAAAAAGAAGAAGAGTTTGGATTTGATATCCCGCCTTTCACTCCCTTTAAGGAGTCTCAAAGCGGCTAACATTCTCCTTTCCCTTCCTCCCCCCACAACAAACACTCTGTGAGGTGAGTGAGGCTGAGAGACTTCAAAGAAGTGTGACTGGCCCAAGGTCACCCAGCAGCTGCATGTGGAGGAGCGGAGACACGAACCCGGTTCCCCAGATTACGAGACTACCGCTCTTAACCACTACACCACACTGGCTCTCTAGTGGCTCTCAGAGGCTCAGGTCATTAATTATCATTGGAGGAGAGAACGGAGGCGATTCCAGAGGAGTCGCTCGGTCGAACGCAGGTTCCGACACAGCAATTCACCTGGTCAGACAGTCCAGCTGTCAGGGAATCTTGTGATCATGGGGTCAAGGGTCAAGCCAAAGCAGGCAGCAGCAAGGTAGGGCCAAGGACTATAAATGTTGTTACCAGCATCTATATGCTGCTGGAAGCTATGCTGAAGAAGGCTGAAGCCAGCTGGTTCTCATCAGTGACTTCTCCTCTGTGTCCTTGAAGGCTGATGAGCTGCAGGTGGAGTCACTCCCCCTTCTCCCCCTTCAGGCTGCTGTTCAGCAGGCAAAACTGCCTCCTTGCCCATGACAGTTAGGATCTATATGACAAATGGGGAGTGGGTGCAGTCTTGTCCTTCATCCCAGGCAGCAAAAAGTTTGGGGCTGGTTCAGGGGAAGCTTACTATGTGGCAACAAAATGTTGCAGCCAGTCTTTCTCAGATTAAAACAATAGCATTGCCATAACTTCAGGCAGTGGTGGAGCTGCAGTACACACCAGCAGTCCAATAGTATTCCTCACTGAGAATGGCCCAGTGGGAATGTTCCTTCACACAGTGATGTATTGTTGATCCTAGAACTGGCTACCTGGAGTAGAGACAATTGTTGTTAACAATTTAAGAAAAGCTGACTGCAGCCCTTTAGGACTTTATATCTATATGCAAAGCCTCCCCCCCCCCCATCAAAACATTATTCTGATCAGTTGAAGACCACAAAATTCTTTGGGGGATGTTTGCCCCCCCCCATGCCCAAAAGTATGGGGTGAAAACTTCAGGCCAGCACTAGCAAAAATATATTCCAAACTATTCCACAAGTTTTTCTTTTTCTTTTTTCCCTCTTTTCTCCTTTCTCTTTTTTTTCTTCATGGCAAGCATAATACAAGGAAGCAGATATTACTTGGGATTATTTTCTTCTTACTTGGTTGCAAGGTGTAGACGTTCCCTTCAAGAAATTTTATTGTACAGTCATTCATTAGGCTGGGGAAACTTTGCAGAGAGGAACATTTCTGACAGGACCTGATCACATGGCTATATATTAAGCAGCAAGAGACAATTCGTACAAGACTGAGAAAATTCATACAAGACTGAAATAAGTATTTGAAGCAGGAATCAGTAGACAACAGCTTTCTCTCTGACCATGGCTGCACCACAAGAGCCAACCTAAATTGTAGTCTTTCTGCCACATAGCTGGATAAAATGCTCCAAAACACTTTTCCATTTAGCCTAACATTTTTGAGATCCTTAAATCCCTTTCCTTCTTTTGATAGTCTTCAGCTAAACAATAGGAGGACAATTAATAGCTTCATCTGATGCATATCTGCCCAGAAGGAAACCCCACTGAGTTCAATGGGACTTTCTCTTAGGGGAGTGGGCAAAGGATTGCAGACTTGGAGGGTCGAGTTAAAATCAGTGGATTAGATTTAACAGGGTGGAGTGGGGGGCGGGTCAGATCCAAAAGTGGTCACACATCCAAAGGTGGTGGGTCTCCCCACCTGCCAGTCACCTGGCATGATGATGATGATTTATTAAATTTCTATACCACCCTTCAGCCAAAGAGCCCAGGGTGGTTCACAACAGAAAAATACATAATAAGAATACAAAATATATAATAAAACAAAACAAAAACCAATAAACTCCCTCCTCTCTTGTTATGATTTTTGGAAAAAAGCCACCCGTATCTGAAGTGCTTTCCTACATCCCTGTAGATTCACACTCACTGAAAATCAGAAGGGTTGGCATTCAGTGCTGAATTTAAACAGTGACTTTGCTGGAGAGAAACTACTAGGAGCATGCTTCATCACTTCTGATTGATCTTTGGCAACAGGGCATGAATCTGGCAGTAAGAGGTGACACAAGAGACATTTCTAATACATTGTTCGTGGTGTGGATTGAGAAAGGTTCTTCTCCCTCTGTCATGACATGAGGAGTCGTTGACATCCATTGACGCTGAATCTTGGAAGTTTCAGGGAAAAGTACTTTTCCACGCAGTGCGAGGTTAAAGGACAGAGCTCGCTCCCAAAGAAGGCAATGTTGGCCACCAATGTGGACAGCTTTTAAAAAGGATTCGACAAGTTAAGGGAGGATAACAGACCCTCCAAGTGTCTCTGTTATCCTGGGACAGTCCCTGATTTACAGAAGCTGCCCCAGTTTCTGATTTGATCCTGGAATGTCCCGCTTTCCCTTCGGACGTCCCTGTTTTCATCAGAGAAATGTTGGAGGGTATGCATCCATGGCTACTAAGCCTAATGGGTTTCTCCACCTCCACTGCCTCTGAATGACACTCACTGGGAAATTTGCTGAGGCCCCACAAACATCTGGTTGGAGAAACATCTAGGAGAAGATGATGTTGGACTAGATGGGCCATTGGCCTGGTCCAGCAGCCTCTTCCTATGTACTTCTGTTCATATACACTTTTTTATTATTCACATCTGCCAAAACATTCAGTATAATTCTCAGAGAATTGTTGGTGACTTTTTAAGCAGATCATAATCCCATTTTTAACATCCTTAGGATCCCTGGCATCTTTCTGGCTTTTGCTTTTCACTGTCACTGCGAAATATTCTAATCTTGATTCTATGAGCCAATCTGTAAAGGCTAGTGTATGTGGAGGATTATACTTTAGTTCAGAAAAATAGCTTTAGCAGTTATATAACGCCAACAGCATAGACCGTTGTCAGCCTGTTCCTAGCTTTTACTTTTTATCAGAGAGTCAGACCTGTGTCGTTTTATCCTCTACCATCTTAACTGCTCTTTATTTTTTCGCCTCAATTTTATAGACTTTAAAATATTTATTGCTGAATGTCTGTCACCATCTACAGATAATAAAAGGACCCCCTCCCTTGAAATCTTGGTCCACTTTATTTCAAGTTGTTAAAGATAAGGTTTCTGTTTAAGGGAAGAGGACATAGATTTTGATGAATGCACCCTTAGGAAGTCAGGAGTAAGTTCTTCGACAATGAGTAGCTTCAACTTCCAGTGCAAACCATAGGGGATATTTAGCATCCTGCGAGTTGCTTGTAGAATTCATAACATTGGGAGGGTGCTCCAGCAATCTCATTATTGCTGCAATAAAACAAAAATGGGACCACAAGAGAAAACGATTATTTTGTATTTCCAACAAAGCATTTAAATAGTCTCATATATCTATCAGGGAGTCTTCTAGCTGAATTCCTGCTGGCAGTTTTCTCTGCAAATATAAAATCGTGCAAGTATTATCAATATTTTTTGTGGGGGTGGAGGAATAGATAAACAGGAGTGGAGAAGTTGAATGTAAGGCAGAATTCAGGAGAGAAATATTTTACAGCTGTGCTTATATTAGCTTTCCATTAAATACAGCAGCGACTGGTCTAAAGTATTAGCGGAGAGTTTCAATCTCATTTCCAAACACAAGAGGCATTTTATAACATAATCTTGCTAAATGTATGACATTGCACCTTTTTATCACTTTTGTGTTTGGTTAAACCTCCTGGTTGTAAAGAGGTGACATTCAACAGTGGTGTGCTTTATATTAGATGGCAGGTGTGGGAAGTAGCAGAAAAAGAAGGAATTTTTAAAATAATTTGATTATGCTGCTAGCCTCTGCATGTAGGCTCAGAAGTTAATGGAGGTAGATTGCCAAAGGTGTCAGCTAAATTGAAAGAAAGAAGAACCAACTCAAAGATCTTTCTGCAGCAGGATTTCTATCTATCTATCATCTATCTATCTATATCTATCTATCATCTATTTATCTATCATCTATCTATCTATCTATCTATCTATCATCTATCTCCTGGCAGCATTAGTAGACCTCAAAATTAGTTCTATGAAAATGGGATTTATTTTTTATTGAGAGCAAATGCAGCCTAAAGAGCTAGAATAGCCTTCCCCAATCTGGTGTCTTCCAGACATTACTCGGTTGTAAATCCCATTAGCCCCAATCAGCGTGGCCAATGGGCAGGGATAATGGCAGTTGTAATCTACTTGAGGGCACCAGGTTGCAGAGGGTTGGGCTGGAGTG